ATCTCTAAATATCTCTCAATTATGTTTTGCTTTCAATTACTCTATGATTGTGTTCACACTTTATACGAAAATCTCTTATATTTCTCAATCTATTATTGAACTCGTTTTTTATACACTATTCAGAAATGTCTTATAAGTATCAATATTTTTAATTATACACTATTTATAATAATAGTTTAGTCTTATATTATACACTGTACAGTATTACCATACTGGTACTATTGGGTTTACTGTTGACACTCATTATACAATTTAGACACTAAAGCGTGTCATATACTGTATTAGGAATTAATTAAACGGAAAATTTTTGTATTTCATTTATCCTTTTATATTAGCATTTGATGTCAATTTTTGATGATCAGATAGTGTTTTAAAATTTTTGCCATATATTTCGTAATCTCTAGTATTTTATTAGTTTTTGTTCTTAATTTTTTTAAAAAGCATTAGAATTTTGTATTATCGTAGTATTTGAAGTATAGATATACTGTATTACTTAAATATTGTTATGTTTTCTAATTTCTAAATGTTTTTCAATAAATTTTAATATTTTATACGAGATATGAAAATCGCTTTATTATTAAAATCATTTCAAAATATATTTTTGTTAAATACATGATTAAAAAGAGTTTTGAGTTAAACATGATTTGATGATTATATAAGCGCTGATTAGAAACAGTAATCGACTGTTAATATGAATAATATATTCATGGGATGCAAACAATTGTGACAATGATTACAATTGTATAATAAACTAAATTAAATTCAAAACAAAGTAATTACCGTAACGAGTGTACCGTAATCTAAAACTTAAGCACAAACTTAAGCTAAAACCAATTACTAAAACAAATTAACTTTCATATAAAAACAAACATTATATCAAATGGAAATGCATTAATCAGAATCACAATTATAATTCACTAATTTACAAATATTATAAAATGACACAATTTTGTTGAGCAAAATGTTATTGATCGTATATTAGAGGTGTAATGATATAATAAGTGAAATCTACTGTTTCTTATACTGTAGTTAAAACTGATTATTGGCTAAATGTAGAAAACATATTTTAAAAATTATTTAATCGTTTTGAACGCATAATTAATATAAACACATAAACACAAGAAATAAATGAGTTCTTAATTAACTATAATGTATGTCAGAGAGAGAGAGAGAGAGAGAGAGAGAGAGAGACCAGAGATCAATACCAAGAGGGGTAACGAATACCAGTGGCGTCCATAGCCTTAATAAACTGCTGTTCCGAGTGGTGACTGAGCACATGGTTTTTCAAATTGAACAGCGCTTTACCCGCGAAACTGCAATCAGTTATCACACATTTGAAGGGCTTATCAACGCCGGGAAAGTGTGTCGTAAAGTGCTGGACAACCGCTTTACGACCGGTTGCCTGGAATTGACAGTTAGGATAAGTGCACTCATACTCCACGTCCTCTTCCAGCTCTTCGGCTGACTTATTCACTTCTGAATCCGTTTTCACTCTAACGGCCGCCTTAACTATTGGTGTTTTACCGGTAATTAAAAAATAAAAACACTATTAGTTTTAAAGATTTGCTCACATTTCAAAGTCTATGTGTGCATTACTATTGTAAACATTTGGTGTATAAACAAAATACAAAATTATCAAAACATCAATAAATAGCTCACATTTGATAATATTTTCTGTTGGAGCGGCGACTGGACTCCTGGGACTCATGTTTGACAGTCCTATCGCTGATTGCTTTTTACGCATAGTTGCAGCCATTGAGCTGAAAGGGATTTTCGACTTGTGTTTCAGTTTCTTGTGTTTATAGAGGCCTGAGATTGTCTGATAACTGTTGCAACAGTTCTTGATATTACAGACAAACGTCTTATCGCCCGGAAGTGGAGGGCTTTTCTGTTTACTGTTACTCGCATTCAGATTAATAGCACTAGTATTAGCCGTATGTGCTATCATTGTCTCATTTGTGGCAGATTTTGGTATAAAATACTTGATATTCGTCTCGTGTCTCGATGTCTTATAGAACAACGCTTTGGACAGTCGCTTATGGATCTCCATCTGATGTCTCTTGAGATTACTCTTTGAGTTATAACTTCGGAGACAACTATTATAATCACAATTCCACACCTTATCTGGCGATAGTGTGCTTTCATTTGATACATTAGGCGTTTCAATCACTTTCAGTGCTTTAGGAGTAATAATGCCTTTCAATGATTTTGGCAGTAATTTCTGTGATTTTGGACCCAATTTCTGTGGCTTCGGAACCGCTTTCTGTGTTTTATTTGTCCGTTTAGGTGACAATAATTTCTTAGCGATTTGATTCAGCTTTGAATTGGTGTTCACTTGGCTTTCGGTAACTGTTTTGCTATCATTGGACGAAACACTGCTATTGAGTGTCTGTCTATACTCGCGAACCTTTTCTAAGCCATGAATTTTGCGGATGTGTTCCATCAGTACTTTATCAGTTATATAGGATTTCTCGCAATCGGGACACCTCTTACTCCTGATGACAGTATCTACTGCTAGTGTCTCAATGGCAGCACCAACTGCTGCCGTCTTAATAGGAGTCTTAATTGGGGTCTTAATGATAGACGCGTTGGGATTATTGTCCAAAAAGGCCTTCTGTTTGAGATACTGTCGCCTATACCTCTCATGCTTTGCCAACCCATGGATCCGCTTAATATGTTTCATCAACAGTCCATACCCTTGAAATCGAGTCTCACATTCCGGACAAATTATATCTCCCGATCCCCTCACTCTGTACCCACTCTTAGAGTCCGACTTTTGAGAGCTTTTCGCTGAGAGCCTAATTTGGACGACATTGTGGGACATCATGTGATTAGATAAGTGACGTTTATCTTTGAATCCATGAGCGCACAGTTGGCACTGATATGGGTTTGTGGTCGGAACCAAAGTTGTCTTAAGCGCTGGATCTGATTTTGTCTTACTTTGGTTTCCATTACTGAGCTTTGGTTTCACTGATTTCTTCACTATTTTCTTCACCACTTTCTTCTTCGTCTTAACCATCTTTTTGATCACTAAATCAATCACAAGATATGAGACATATTTATCTTACTTTGGTTTCCATTACTGAGCCTTGGTTTCACTGATTTCTTCACTATTTTCTTCACCACTTTCTTCTTCGTCTTAACCATCTTTTTGATCACTAAATCAATCACAAGATATGAGACATATTTCAGTACAATAACTGCAAAAACCGTACATATCTTAGCCTTAGAAGCCGATTGTCTGTCTGGAGGAGGTGTCAGATCAATGACGCCGTCATTAAAAATACTTTTACCACTGGTCTGAGGGTCGGGCGCCTCATCGGAATCGCTGTTCAAATCGATGGCAATCGAGTGCTGTTTGTCATCACTGACAGCCGGCTTCTTGTCGACCACTCCCTGGCTATTAGTGCCCAACAGATGACTGAATGACATGTTTTGCGACAAATACTGCGAGACAAACATAAATGGTTTGCCGGCGCTCTCCGAGGCAGCCGTCGCTGACCTCATCTTCACAGGACTCTCGCGTTCAGATGCGGTGTCCGTCTCCTCGTCCTCGCCGTCAGACATGGGCTCCGGCTTTGGTATGACTTCCAGCTGTACCGGAACGGCAGGAACAGGCACTTTGAAAGCCTCCTTCTGGGGGCTATCAATGATCTCTACCACAGGTATGTCTGCCGTCACCATAAATCCCGTATTATCTGATCCCTCTTCGCCCGCATCGGCAGTCTCTTCGATGTCATCCAATACGTGGACATCGTTTGCCTTAGCCTTCGTCTGATTGACAGCCACTATAAAACAGATAATAAGTAAATGAATATATGGTTGCCATGAATGGCAGATATCAATGATTACTCCAGCGATGGTTATCGAGGCGCCAGTCGTCCAAAGCCTTCCTCAATGTCTTCACTTCGTCCTTATTGCTGATGACATGAGTCATATCAGCGAACAGCTTCTGATTGGCGGTGAGCGCCGACTGCAGTGGCAATGATTGGCTGCCATTGGCTTTAAGGTGGTTGTGATTACTCACGAGGAAGTCATACAACTGTTGGCTGAAGTCCTGCTCTTTGGTCACCAATTGGTTCAAAAGAGTCACTTCCGTCTCAATTGTGTCCAACTTCTGCGCGTATTCCTCATTCAGACGCTTATACTTAGCCAACTCGTGAGTAATCAGATCCATGCCTTATGGTGTGACTCGTGGATCAGTTGCAGTGATTATAAAGACATTTCAAATTCAATGCAATTGTGTTTTGAATTGTTTTGAAAAACCAATGTTTACTCAAATAGTGCTGAAAATGCATTCAATAGGCATTGCATTCACTTTTAATCCCAATATTCGCACATAAATAACGAAATGTATGACAAATAATGGGTTTTTTCTATAACTTATTCAAGTGTTGGAAATTAATTTAAAACTAGCTTGTTAATTTTTAAAAACAATATTAAACTGTAAAAATTTGGATTTGATAAATGTATCTAGATTAGATGAATTGAGCTTGGTGCTTAATGTTTTTTCTTAGAATTAAAACTTTAAACTAATGTTTAAAAAACTTTTGAATTTCTATGATTTTGGTGCAGTTATAGCCATCTATTGGTTGAGTGTTAATGGGTTTAAAAAAGTTTTGAAAACTTTATTTAAATTATATCCAATGGTTTATTATTAAATATAAATAAAATATTTGCATTTTTAGTGAATTAGGCAATTAATTTACCATTACAGTAATCGTGTGAATATTTTAAGTTAGCATTAAAAACTATTCAATTATAAAATAATTTTAGATTTTTAAACAAATTATAAAGATAACCCTGCATAATGATATTACCCTGCGACTCTAAAATAATTTTATAGAAAAATAATCTTTACATTAATCTTAATACAATGGTATAAAATCGTGTTTTATATTAAAACTATAAACTAAAACAACATATAAATTGATTTAAAAACACAAATGAGACATCAAAATAAATGCCACATTTAGAGTGGATTTACTGTTAAACTAGGAATTGAGACAAAAAACTACTTTCAAAACTCATTGAAACAAATCTCATTGAAAGAAAATATAATTCAGTAGAAAGGAGAGCCATAGGGGCCACGTTATGAACACTAAGCCTGATACAAAATCTATTAACGTGTAGAATCGGGTCATTTGGTGATATTTGTCGGCCATATTGCCGGTGCGATTGATCCGGGCGTCGATTATGGTCTTTGGGGGCACTTTCCGGTCATAAGCCCATCCAATCCACGCGAAAAAGTCTATGAAAGCCGTCGCCGGATTGAAATTGTCTTTCCAACCGTACTCTGAGGCCGAGTAGTCCCACGGAAACCTACCCATCCGTTCACAAACAGGTATTTCGTATTATTATGTGAGATATTGTTTGTAATATAATGAAAGTAAAAATAAATATATAGTTATACTTCAGTACTTTGACAGTATTTTATACAATACAACGACAAAAGTATATTAACTTATACAAAATAATTGGTAACTTATTATAAATTGTCGTTATATTACTGTTATAATAAGCTTAACATATGAACGATTCAATTAAAGATTGTCACATTAGCTGTTCATTAATTACAATAATAAATAACCATGATATTTGTGTAGATTAAACTTCTTATTGCACACTAAATTCACAAAATTGTGCAATAATTTTACTTTCAAACAGAAAAAGTAAGTTTAATATACAAAAAACTGTGAAAATATTTATATCAGATTTCATTGAACTTTATTTTGCTATGAAATCTCTCGCATAAGGAAAACCTATTTACTAGAATCTAAAGATTAAAATGAGTTTAAACTTTAAAAGTGTTTTAAAGTGATAGAAAAAATAAGTAAATTCATGTGGACTTACGTGTGATGATAGTTATGATAGCCTTCACCTTTAAATTGTCAAATCAATTATAAAATCACAAATTATTTACATTTTACTCAACATAGCATATCATTTTCATGTCAAATGCAAATTATAATTAACTTACCCAACGATAGATAAGCCTGAAAATAAAATGATATTTTTTATTAAATAAATTGTAACACAGTAAATAGTTGTTACTGATATGTAAAAATGATAAAGTTGACATTTAAAAAGACAAATGTCAATGTTAATTAATTAATTAGACAATTAAAACATATAATTCATACCACAGTGTGATTCTCCCGGGGATTGATATGCTTATCGTACGGTTTATATCCCCTCATATGGGCCAAGGAGTTGACTAACCATGTGTTTTGTAGGGACACAATATATCGGTAACAGTTGAGCAGTATTGAGATGTACCAGCTCTCCCCAAAATAGTAGACGGGTATCGACACCGGTATTAACAGCCATATGATGGCAATCAATGGATAGTAGTATTTCTTCTGAAATCTCACGATTGGATCCGCCCTTCAATTCACATAATATTGTATTAACTTATATCTCAAAAATAAACAAAAGTTTTAAAACTTAAAATCTAATCAAAGGTTATAGAAACCAGGAACTGTTTATACTTTATTGATAAATTATTAAATTACTAATAGATTTGAATAATTATATGCAATTTAAATATAATTAAATAAAGATTATGAAGTAATTAAAGATTAAACAGTACTAACACTTAGCATATAAATTATACAGAATCTGTATTTGTTTCATATAATATTCAAGAATATTAGTTTTATTAGATATGAATATTAATATATAAATAATAGATACCATATATCGGACATATCGACCAGTTTTCCTTTTCGGATCACTTCGGGATGTTTTTTGCATAAAAGCCAACCCATGTGTGCGAAAAAGAAACCCCGTTTGGCATTGTGTGGGTCGGCATCCGTTTCGGAGTACCGGTGATGCACTCTATGGTCACGACTCCAGTCGTAGATATCGTTTTGTAGGGCCAGTGTCTGGAGGACAGCCAACAGGAGCCGGAGCTGCCATTTGGCTTTGTATGAGCGGTGAGACCACAGACGGTGGGCGCCCGCGAGGATCCCAAACGAACTCAATATTCCCACTAAGAAAAAGTAGACACTTGTGTACCCTTTGGCCGTCCCTTTGCAGCAAACATTAAATAATGATATGATTATGAATTTCATTTAGTTATATAAAATGTAACATACATTATTATACATTGCAATAGCTTCAATTTACTGAATATCATCTATTTTATAAAAGTTTCTATAAGTTTTGATAATTAAAAAGATTAGCTGTATGTTAATTTTAATTATAAATATTGATTTTATGTTTTACTTACGAATTATATAATACTGTAATTCTCAATAATTATAAATAAAAATTTTTGTTGAAAATATAATTATCTTAAATATTTTAAAATCGTTAACTTGTATTACATGATAATAATTAATATGAATATGAGAGAGGTCATACCAATGACGAGATGGTAATAGCCTAGGAGGGCAGCCGTGTGAAGGGAACCCATAATAAAAACATTAGTCCAAACAATTTGTACGGAATATTCACTCTTATTGTCATTATTATCGCCGTTATTATAGTGAACATCGGTTTGATTGTCGTTCTCATCACTCATTATAACACTATTATTGCTGTGAATATGTGTCGAGTCTTTCACTATTTTCTTTTCTACTATTTGACACATTTTTCACAAATATTTATTAAAAGTGTTGATAAATAAAATAAAATTCATACAATAGAAATTTTGTGAACACTAATAAATATAGTCGGATCCCATTGTAAATAAATATATAACACACGTCTCATTAACACACAGAAAGTGTTTAGAAAAGTCACAAAAATATTTTATGGTTTTGTACCGAAAAAAATAAAAATTCTTATAAATATTTGTGTTTTAAACTCTTAAAGATATAATATGTTTCATAGTATACATGACTGAATGTCTGACACATATTAAGGAAAAATGCTTTTAATGCATTTGATAATAATTTCACTCTTAAATCAATCCACACTTTTCTCTATCCCCTATCGAAAGTTCATTACAAAACAGTTACACTACTTTTTTATCTCAATCTTAGGCTGAAAAACTTTACGAGACTTTGTGTACAAGTTTTTTGAGACCGTTATGTCAGTACACAAGTTATGCTATTAGAGAGCACAGGTAATGAGACACAGGTAACAGAGTGTACGTGCCCTCATATAAGTATATGCATACGTAATGCCTTAGGTCCCAAGGCATAGGATTTGTTTTTTGTAAAGACCTTTCTCTTTCATTTTAATTTTTATGTATAAATCTTAATTGTCAAAAATGTTTTACATAGTTATTAATATCGTACAATAAAAAATTTCCAACACTTTTTAAAACTTTTATTTACAAAATAAATAAACTTATTAATGTTTTGTTAACAATAGATTAAAACATGTATTGTGTATTAGAAACAGGAAATTCATTAATTATATGAAAATTGTCACAAAGACATATAATGTTGCTAATTGTATAAATAATAAATGTATTTATAATAGGTTTTAAATAAAAATAAAAACCATAAGTATTAATTATTATTAATATATGAACAATAAATAGACTGCGAAAGATTTATTTATTCCTATTATATTTAATAACAGTACAGAACGAGTGTAGTATTGTATTCATACACTGTATGACATACAATATAATAAGCGACAATATTTTAGATTACAAATGTAATAAATAATAAGAAAGTTTTTGTCAAAGAATTTATTTGAAAAAATGTGAACAACTTGTGATCACTGAATGTTGACATTAGCTATCAGTTATCAAAAATAAGAGATTTGTCAGAAAAAACTTTCCTCAACTGAGACCTGATTTTTTGTATTTAAATATATTTTTCGCAGCAAATTTCTATTCATTAATTACAAAAATCTCGCATAATTATGCTTAATGATATAATTCCTTACAATATTTGCGAAAGTATCATTTTAAAAATACTATATTTAGTATAAGATTTGATGCGAAATATTTTTATAGTTAATTAATTGATTTTTAAAATTAATTTTACATAATTTTGCAAGTTTTAAAGATTTCATATTTAAAATAAGTTTAAATGAAAATATGTATTAATCGTAATTTTCAATGTTCAACAATAAATCAAACAAATTAGTTGAGAAACGAGTTATTTGCACATAAAATATGACACAAATTTTCGCAAACGGATTACTATTTAATTGATTCTGTAATGAAATTTGTATTTCAGATTTCCTTTACGGCAGAGAGAGAGAGAGAGAGAGAGAGAGAGAGAAAGCAATTGAACACATTTATCCTGAAGACAAGATTTTAATTGTAAAGAAATAAGAAATAAATTTTATTTTTTAAATGCCATTAGATGTCATAGACAACTAGTTATATATTGGTGATTGAGTTCAAGTTGTTAGATTTATTATTGCAGAGTACAGTATATGTGCAATTGATTGAAATTATATTGTTTTATGGAATATAGCCATGAATTAAGTAGGTGTTTACCAAACACACACTAAATGAATAGGTAGTGATCCAGGAAAGGCATACTTTTACATAAAGGTTACCGTAAATCAGTTCCTACTGTTAATCACACTGTATTCCTAATTAAACTATTATCAATAGTTTATTCAATGATTAACATAACAATTTGTATCTGAATTGTTGAGTAAACTTTTAGTACAATATAAAACTAATTTGTTAACTAATTACGTTAATT